CAGGCTTCCCTCCGTCCCTGCCTGGCAGCCGCCGGGGCGGGGAGCGAGCGCGTCTTCCAGCGGTACGGAGCATCCCGCCTCTGGGAGCTGGACAGATGACTTCTGCAGCAGCAGAGGTGTGTTTGAAACCAGGGAGCGACTGCCAGGCTGTGGCAGGCAGAAAGGTGGTTTATGACAGGTCACGACAAGCTGCTCGCCTCCAACAGAATGAGCTCAGGAGCCCATCAGCCCACGCCTCAAGTTTTTCCTGATTTTGAAGACATGCCTACACAGCACTAAATTTCCTCTCGTCTCCTTTGCCATGCACCAGAATGGAACAGCTTGGTTGTAGTTAACATAAACCCACCAGTATCCCCAAAAGATAGACTAAACTTGTGTTAAAAACAATCCTAATGCTCAGCTTTCCCATTTGGTCTCACTCCAGTGGGCAAATAGGTGCATAGGGAGCCAGCAGCCAAGATGGGGCTTTAGATGGAAAGGCAATTCCTCCCCAGACCTACACAAAAAAAAGAAAAAAATCCCAGAAAACCACCACCCATTTCACACATCTAGCAGAAGAAAAGCCTGTTTAGTTACTAGCTTTCTCAAGTGCATCCAGGGGATTTTTGCCAAGAATGCTGGACTAATCCCAAAATAAAAACAATGCTATGTCTAGCTCTACAGGAGAAGCAGCTTTTTTTAAACATCATTCTTGAATGAGGAGTAATTCACAGAGACCGAGGCAGCGACTTTGAAAGGACGGCATTAGACTTGCCGCGCAGGCTGTCGGGCACACCGAGTCAGCGTTTATGAAAAGCAAAGTATAACCAGGCTCTTGATTTTCATTTTTGTTTCTTAAGACTCAGCCAAGCTTTCATGGCTCAGCTACACACGAATGGTATTGATTTATACAGCGTGCAAAAGGCCCGTCGGCTCCAACACTCGTTTCTGTATTAAACTCATGTGGAAGCGCTCTCGGTGAACTATCCAGCCATCGCTACGGGCTTCCCGCAGCATCCTTCCTCGACTGTGACAATGTTACCAAGAACCAGACTATCATAAAGTCCAAGTTCTAGCCCCAGAAAGATGCAGAATATTGCAGGTCTCCCCAACAACGGAAAGGTAACAGGAAAGAACAATTACCTCTTACTCCATTCCTTAAGAAATACCACATTCTCCACAGCTGTACGTACTAAAAGAAGTAATCCAATACAAGAGTCTCAATTTATTTGAAATAATTCGGTCTGAAAACTTTTTAATTTAAAATTTACAGCACACGTGGGGAGGAAACATGTTTTGTTACAACTAAAAATTATCAGAAGAGTGCTGCAGGGTTGTTTTCTTTAATTTAACACTGTCATGGCTTTATTCAAAACACAGTTGCACAAAATCAGTTACTCCAAAGTTTAAGGAAAGAGTTTCATAAGGAACCGAAACACACTATATACATACTGCCATACAAAGAGCATTAAAATAGGACAAAACCTCTACAAAATATAAAACCCACCCTTACGTATTTGCATGAAAAGACCACCCACCAAGCAAAAAAGTTTCAAAAGTTATCTGGAGGCTCTGTATTACTTATTTTAAAAAATGCTATGCTGTTTAATTGCATGCCAAGCTGACAAATATGAAACTATACTTAGATGGTAACACGGAGGAAAAGACAAAGTTGCTTAGGAAGTGTTAAGCCTGCCTATCTCAGGGAAGGTCTGCTAACCCCTTCTGAGTTTCCACTGTTTTGTCCAATTAGCTCATCCAACGTCAAAATTGGACTCGCTTACTGAAACAAGACCAGCACTCAAGTAATTTGAACCCATCAAAATAGTAAATTTTTCCATTTAAAATGAATTTTCTATGCATCAGTAAAAGACAGTTAAGGAAAACCCTGACAATGAGGTACTTTAAAGTACACGCTTATAAATAATAGGTTTCAGTCGTTCGCCGAGACTAAAAAAAAGTAAGCAAAAAGATGGGAAAGCACACTTTTCTATCTCAAAGCTGAGCACAAAGCAACTGCCTTGAACACAGAGCCTCCACGACAAGATAGGATGTGCACTTACCTAAGATTTCTATTCATTCAGTATTCATACACAAACACAGGAACTTAGATTGTGGTTGCAAATGTAGTTTTACCACTACTTTTCTAGTGTCTTTACAGATATTCATTAGAAAACGCAAAACCCATTTAGTCAGTTCATTTCCAAGTCTATTGCCGTCTGCCTGACTCGTTTCATTCAGATGCTTTTAATGGCCGGCTATGCTTCACAGCTATGTGAGAAACTATGATTTAAGGCTCTATTTGGGGGGGGAAAAACAAACCCACACGCACAAGAAATTGGGCTTTGCAGAACTTCAACCCTGCAGTATCTAAACTTGATTCAAGAGTTGGAAGTCACATTTAAAGTCTGCTAGTGTGTGAAATACCTATTAAATATTCACAGGTAACCGATCTATGGGTGACTGACTCATTACTTAGGTCCAGGAAATCTCCCTCTTCCCCACCCTTGATGTCTCCCCCAGTTTAATGGCAGCTATTGTCAGCCAAGACAGATACAAAAATAAGTCTCTTGAATAAAGCTGTGTGTGATATTTGGTTCAGTACCTACGTGAAACAATGTAAATTAATTTTATATCAAGACTACTGGTTTAAATCCAAATCATGACTGAAAGAGGAACGCCGTATGTCTGAACTTGTTTCGCAGTGGCTCAAATAGAAAACATGAATCCATCGGGGCAGAATTATTAAGTCCTATCAGTCACAACCAGGCTGCTAGGAAAAAAAAACTTGTCTGCATGTCTCCTGTACTTGCCACCAACTGTATGCAATGGCACGAGTTTCTGCAGCCATTCAATATAAAAAACCCTAAACTATTAACTAGTATTATACATGAACTTGAATGTTTTGCCTACAACCAGATTTAAAAAGTTTAAAAGGTGACCTGCGAAGAAAGACTGACTCACGTTCATCTTTCCCCCTTCAATGATTCTATAAAAGTGGGGGGGGGTTGTTTGAAAAAAAAAAAAATGTGCTTGAAGGAGTTACCCGTTAACTTCTGCATCAGAAATGCATATATTTTATAGCCAAACGCCGTGATTGCTGCAGAATTCCCAAAATGACAATGCAAGAGCGATGTGAGTGAAAGTTTAACAAAGACTTCTAAGCGAAATGGTTTAAAACTACAGATTATTTGCTTTTGTTAATACCTGCAATGACTACGTATTTTGGAGAAAGTTTACGGATTACAGGCCTTTCGGTTTGCCAAGATACGTTCTCGAAGGTATCGAGTGAATACTCCAGCAAACACTGAACACCTGAACAAGCAGGAAAAAAAACCATCTTCTGAAACCCGCTTAGGCTTTACAATGTAACACACAAAATGGAGAGAAGACTTAAAAAAAATATTACAGGAGTCACCTTTTAAAAAGCTGAAATAAAGGTGGAATCTAGTTGTCGATTTCAGATAGAATCTCTGGTAAACTCGGACTATAGTCAGCATCTCAATTAAAAAAGACTGGAATTTGCCATATAGCATTTTTGAGTTCAGCTTTTTAAGTATAAAAACTTTAAAATCTTGAAGGAAATCCACAATGCTAAACCCATGTGAAACGGGTGTTTTAACTCTGGGCTAATGATGACCGACACAGCAAGCTTGTATAAAATGAAAGAGCTCCAAATAAAAGTCTAGGGGGAAAAACTTGACAATGGCTTCAGTGATTATAGGGCTGAAAATTGTCGTCTACATATAGGTTCACTAACAGGCTATTATATCTTATCTGGAATGACAAAAAGGGCAAGAATAGTAAAACCACTTCTCCTATAAAAAGTTAACGTATTATCTTCTGTAGGGACATCTATGGTACATGGAGACATACAGATCTGCATAATCACTATTGCGTATTCTGTAACTTAAGAGTCTGGTCCTACTTGTGTCTATAACAAATTAATCATCCTCTTCCTCGCCTTCATCTTCAGGGTCTCGTTTCCTCTTCTCCCCTCGAATGCCCTCTGCTAAGGAAAAGAGGTATGCATACATCTCGTTATGTTCTGCTCAGACATCATAAATGTAACATTATACTTTAGAAAAGGTAATTGAAATAGATTCCTGTTTGTTTGTAGTTAATGCACTCACAGCTGTAACATCTCTGCGTTGCTTATGGCTCTCAAAAAAAGATCCATTTACATTACTCTGAATAATTCATGCAGGCCATATTAAACTAAGTTCAAGCTGAGCATGTGATGTTCCATACGAGAATTATCAAGATGAAGTGGATTTATAAAAAAGTGTTTCTGCTAACATATATTTGAGAACTGAAATGGAAATGACATTTTTGTATCTCCCTAACTTTAGTTTTTAGAAGCTGCATACACCCTGCCCAAAACCCAGCTGTTTCTGCAGATACCAAGTGAAACATGCTCTGCTCTCTCTCCAATGACAAACTCATGTAAGCATCTTGCATAAACATCTTTGAGCTTATTCTTAGAAATATGCTTAATTCGGTCAGTGGACTATGCGCTCTTGTGGTGAAATCATGAAATGCAATTTTGTCAAATCTAATAGATTTATTTTCCAGCAGTCATTTCCTGGCTAATTAGCCATCCTGACCTCCTGCTCTGTTGTCTTAATAGATGCGAAGGCTGCATTTGTAAAGAGTGAAGAATCAGCGTTACTAGCTGAAAATTTTGGCGTTTTTTTCAAAAATTTCAAGATACGTCTTCAAAAACTGTTCCTTCAAGCCAAGCATACAGATGGGATGGGGACTAGTCTGGTGAGAAATTCTAGAATTTGCCTACAGTTTACACAGACTTCAGGATTAATACAAAACTTTACTGCTAGGGGTAGTTTAAAGGTTAGGACAGAGTTCTTAACCGTTAGAAAAGAGAACTTCTGGAGGAGCCTCGTAGCAAGAAAAGTACAGAGGAAAAGCCAGCTAATTTTAAGATGAAGCCTGATTAATTTTTTTTAAAGGGACTTTAGCAGCCATTGACTGGTAGTAACAGGGGACTCCCATCCAGGGTGTTCATCTTGCCACTTGAACACAGAGATGCGCACAACTAAGCCACCCGTCCATCCACCCACAAATCAGAGTATGCCCATCCCCGCACAAGAAGCAAGACTACGCCTTCTGCCTATAGAGCAACGGCTGTTCCAGTGGCGCAGCAGAGTAGGAGCAGCGAACGTAAGGCTGGTCCCTGCCCTGAAGGCTTGGAAACCTCAAACAAGGTGCAAAAAAGAGTGAGTGATAAGTTTGTCCTGTTGAACTTCTTGTGGGTCCTTTTTAAAAATAGCAAAAGATAAAATAATAATAAAAAAAGTTATTTTATGAAATAAATACATAACCCACTTTTTGCAAACAGAACTTTACGTTCTGCAAAATACCAAAGGAACAGCATCAGCCTCCAAAATGCCGCTTTTTCCGTTACCCACTCGACACACCGTACCTTCTTAAAGCAGGATGAACCACACACAGTGGCATTTTTTTTTTTTTGCAAGCTTTTGACTATTATACATGTGTCTGACATCGAGAGTATGAAATTAAGAAGTTACAACCATTGATAAAAAGACTAGATAGAAACAATACGATTAGGCTCACTAGTGAAGCCATTAGGATACTGGGTTGAGTTTGCCTCCTAGGAGTTGCCTCTGAAGTAGAGAGGTTTGCTGGAGAAGCCACTTCCAGCCTGATAAAGGCAAAAGGTACAGCTGCTACTGCGGCTTTGAGGGCTTTGCCAGTGGAGCCTCTGGTATTTTAAATGTATGTAAATAATGTCTGCAAGGTATACAGAAGAGTCGTCCCTCTCCACTCCATGTGGGAAAATTAAAATTTCTAACTGTGTAGGAGATGCAGTATCCTTCATTTTAGAAAACTTGCTTCAATGAGAGACTTTGAAAACCTGTCATTTCTTATTGTTATTTTACAAGCGAGCAGACAAAAAATATCAAATACCGCACAGCTACTTTACTACCTGCTCAAGCTCTTGCTTAAACTGATCCTAAAATACTTCACATGCCTTCAGAAAAGGACCAGCCAAACAGTGATTTATGCCATTAAAGCACACATCCCAAACTCACAAAGTTACAAAATTATAAAGAACCAATTTAGTCACAACTTTAATAACTTGAGAACTTACCTTCTTCCTCCTCATCACCTCCTTCTTCAACATAGTCATCATCATCATCTTCATCCTTTACAAAAGTTGTGAAATATTTTTAAAATTGCCTTTTATTTAAGTTGTGCTTACATGCTGATCCTGAGCAGAAATGCCGAAAATCCCACTTACTCTGTTCAGAGGTCACATTCCAGATTTACTTTTTGTTACTGGCCGTCTGTACGAGGATAGGCAGCAGAGCCGACTATAGTACATTTAATCGCCCAAGCCAGCGTATTATCTGGCCCAGTATTCTCATTTCTTTGTTTTTCCCCACTTATCACTACCTTACGCCAGCTCAAGAGTAAGTTATTGGAAAATTAACTGAAGAGGCTACGACAGCAAACAGAGATGACAAACAGCTTTAGTTTTCCTTTTAACCCACTGTCATTAAAGGACAAGGAAGAGGAGAAAGCAGAGCAGCTAATATCTTCACAAAATTATTATTACTATGTCAAATGAATTAAGTTGTTGGGGATTTTTTTTTTTTCTTTTTTTTTTTTAAAGCTGATAGCTGAAAAATGTAAACCAATTACCAATCAGCAGCCCCAGAAAATTAAACAATGGTGCAAGATCTCTGCCCTACTGGCACAATGTCAAGCCTTGAAGACAAACTGAAGTCTTATTTTTATATCCATCTGCTGTATCAAATGTTATACATAGGGTAACATAACAAGTAAAAATGTGAAAACATTAGAGAGTCCACCTGACATTTGCCCTTAGAACACGGAAATTAAAAACCACTCTGGATTAATCCACTGCAATTAGAATGGTGCACAATTTAATTTTCCAAATTAATTTTCCAAAATACGGGGAAAAGCTAGCAGACTAGAACTCTCTCAAAACTTTACGTACTTCACCCTGACCACCACCTGTTCCCTAACAAAATGAATGCAAAATCCAAACCAAGTATCTACTTTTGTTGCACCGTCATCAGAAGGGACGCGGTTCTGAACTCCCCTAACATTTTTATGGCTCTGCGCGGCAACTCCGAGTCACCTAACGTGCAAAGCATATGCACACGCTAATGACCACACACGATCAACTGCTGATACTCTTCCTAGTCGCACATTGTTCATTTTCCAAAGAACTCTCTCTAAGGTCTTGGCTTCAAGGCAGATTTACTTATTTAGTTTTAGCTTCATTAATTGTGTTACAGACATTACCTCTTCAGAGTATTACGGCAGGAACAAAGTTACGCTTGTAAGCAAATCATACAAGCGCTAGTTACAAGAACAAAATGAAGAACACCGAAGAGTTTAGTTCAAGATTTTCTGCACATCCATGTGAAACGCAGCTGATAGGAAGTCAACTCTTATCAAAAGTAACAGTAATGGAAGTGATGTCAGCAGGGTTTTTGTGATCTGAAAGTGCAAGCTGCTTGCACAGACCTGCGCACAAAATCCACGCCGGACACATTCTCCCTCTGAAACCCCTGCAGCTGTCAAAGGAGAGTACTAACCCAGGGCTCTGGGGTTTTACTTCTATGCAATGATCATTTAAGCATGGCCAGTTTATATCTACAATAATCTATTCCTAACCTTGGAAAGGACATATATTTTCTTATCTTAATACTCCTCCACTTGCTTTGTAGCACAGTACTACTTGGAAGATCCTGTGGGCTGTTTTCTGCAGCTCTTCAACACCACCACTAAAAACATTTTTGAATGCACGGTAAAAAACCCCAGCATTTATTACAGCAAAAAAACCCCATAGACTTTTCCTTTGCTTCATCTTACTGGAAGTACTGGTAACTTGTTGCTACTTCATTCTCTTCTTTTGCAAGACCAGGGTATTTTCTTTGTTTTTTTCCAAAAGAAATTAATTTATTCTACTTAGTATGTATCTCTATTCCAACAACTGAATTGGTCGTAGCGCATGGTTCCAAAACGCTGGGGAGAATGGATTCTTTTGCTTACAAAGAATAAAGAGGCTCTATCGTCCTGCACCATTAAGGGGTGGAAGTGACCAAGTCTTGGAAGTCACCAGGACCATTTTCACAGCTGCCTGCCACCACTCCTGTTCAAGCCAACACTCTGGATTTCAGTGACAGCAGCATTCTCTACAAAATATCTCACCGCATCTACCCTGCATTTATATGCTCTGTGTCGGTATGTTTACATGAACACAGAAGTGTGTATGCCGATTTTTTCTTCATTTCTTGGATTCGGTAGAATTTACAAACTTTACCTGAATCTCTTCTTTCATCAGGTATGAAAGACCAACTTCCTCCTCCTCTTCTCCTTCCCCCAAATCTGAACCTCCATCATCTTCATCATCTTCCTCTTCATACTCTCCTGGAGGACCAGCTTCATCCTCATCTTCATCATCATCATCTTCATCTCCTTCTGAAATGAAGGACACGCTTATACATATATGATAGAAGTTACATTTCATTAACTCCTCTTTATCCAAGTTTGTATACACCAGGTCAAGCTAGTTATAACTTTTTTTCCAGAAGGGTTTGGCGTTTTTTTTATTTTTTTTTTTTAATGCAGGCAACATCTGGGAAACAAGCATGATTTTAATGAAGTTAATCTTTATAATTTTTTTCCCCTGACGAAAGGCTACCAAAGTTTTTACATCACAAGCTTCAGGCAAAATTCTCAACGCCTGAAGCAGCTACGTATGCAAACTCCTGCAAAGGAGCTGAAAATTTAGTCAGTGGAAGGGGAAGAGAGGCTTCTCTATAGAATCAAACCCTAAAAATATTTACAGGCAAAACCAGCTTAACATACTACATTTACCTGTTATTTAATCACCTACTAGTAACTATGAAACACCTACAGTTACAAAGAAGCGATCTCTCATTTCCTTTCTGTGTCTGGAGCATATAATCACTTTCACAGTTTCAGTTAGGTGAATTACAAGAAATGACAAGGTGATTTAACACTTAAATTCATTTTAATGAATAAGTTAATAACCTATTAGTCCATTTTCAAATATTGGCTTTATTTTCACTATCAACTATTTGGCTTTCATAGAGTTCTTTTAAACGCTGGCTTCCAAACTTCCATGTGCCTGCGCACTCGTCAGCAGCCCCTTGACAGCCACGACCCAGCATACAGCTGCCACAGCAGTGGCAGCTCCCAGTTGGTGATTTAAGGCACAAAGAAAACACGGAGAAACCTCTGTCATAAACAGAGCGAGCCCAAATCTTGCTAGTTATTGATGTGGATGTTTGGAACGCAGATGCGCATAAGATGCGGCGTCACAGCAACAGCCCATCGTATTTGCTAACAGCGCTCAAGCACATTTTGGATGGGTTTTTTTTCTTAACAGCTTTGACTGTGTCAGTCATCTGTTAAGCCAAGTACATTTAAGGAAGAGCACGCATACTGTTCCTGCAATCCCATCAATGTAGAATTTGTAGCCACACACTGACACGCCTGTACCTATGGGCTTCGTTTTCAATCGGAAGATGTAGGAATAGCCTCGTTAATGACTACAGCTGAGGTCAGATCAAAAGGAACTATATACATTTTTGAACAAAAAATTGTATTACACTTGAGCATGGGACCGAAGCCATTACAAAAACAGTAAAATTACAATAATGTGCATTTGTCCCCTCGCTTCGTATCATTCAGTAACGCCAAAGTGCTTTACTACTGGCAACAACTCGTTTGGAGAATATTTATCTCTTTGTAACGATACCTTTAGTCAAATTTCCTTAAACTCAGAAGGCTTCTGCAAGAACACTCAAAACCTCTGCCAGGAGTTTTCCTTCTGTATCACAGTGCGTTAATACCAAATGAGTTCTAGAAGTCTGCGCTTCAAAAATAAGACCACAGAATCATGCTAGTGCATTTAAGAAGTCACTATACCCCATGCTACATCTATATCTTTATTACAGTGGACTATTTCTATCCACAGTTTATTTCAGGAAGTTACCCTCATCATCATCATCTTCTGAGTCCGGTGCCTCATTATCTTCCTGATCAAATCCATCTAGGTATGTGATTTGCTGAAGCAGCTCAAAAATGCTGTCTCTGTAATCCTCGAGGTTTGTAATCTCACAGTTGAACAGGTCAAGACTCTTCAAGTTCTTGAGATTTTGCTGAAAATAAATGAAAAGGGTTTCTTTTTCCCCCCTATTTCTTGACATGGTACTTCAAAAGTTACAGTGCGGTCATGGCCCAAATACAGTTCACCTTATAGCCAGCTACAGAATTTATTTTGTCCCCATCCCTTCTTTCCTATTCAGTATTTTGCTCCCAGTTAAATACAAACTTCAGTTCAAAAAGTTGCTCGCAGTAGTTAGAACTCGTAATGAAAGTGCTTTTGCAGATCAGCTCCACAGCGCGTCTGCAGCACACCCAACACATCCCTGAAGCACGAGACCACCGTGCACAGACTGCATAACACGTATCTGGGTTTGGTTTTCGTTTGCATAGACTATTTTTGTTCAGGCAATCCCGGGCAAAAACTTAACAACTCCAGCAGCCTTTCAGTAAACAGTTTGACTAATTTAATTACAGGCATCTTGCAAGGAGCAAGCAGGAGGCGCTTGGTAGGATTTATAACTACACTACAGAACTGCTTTCTGAACAATAAGACTAGACAACCGATGGGGATTTTTCTCACCTTTCAGCCTTTACACACATACAGAAGGAGCCACCTGCATGGCTTGGCAAGCATCTGAGACCTAAATAAAAGCATTTCTTCTATTGAGCACTGTAACTGCTTTACTTGGTCTACTAACTGCTGGGTTAAAGCACCATTAAAGTAGATGAAGAACCTTTATGAGCAGTTTTAAAAATATGCAGTCTATATCAAAATCCTTAAAAAAAAAAAAGCCATCAGCTAGAAAAATGGGTGCAGAGATCAGGTAGCGACAGGCGCTGGCAGCTTCCTCCTACATTTAAATAACCTACTACAGGTGCTTCCCAGGTTTGCTCCTAACTGACCGTCTCATGCGCACATCCTAATCACTTCACAGTTTAATGAAAGCTTAAGGCAGTTGCTTATGAGACAAACTATACCTTACCAAATGAACACAAAGAGGATTAGCAAGACATAACTTGGCTACTTTTCTTTCAAAGACAAAACAGAAGCTCAAAAATCTCTTATTCCGTACATCCCACTACTAACACAGAAGGAATTTTACAGCGGTACATTTACAATCACTGTCTCTGATAACCATGACGTTGAGTTAATCAAGTCAGGACCAAGTGGAATACTGACAAACCTAAACCATCGCAGTATCCATTTCACCTGAGCTGGCAAGAAAAAAAAAAAATATAGAACATGTAACAGATAAGAAATTTAATTTCACATGCCCTTCAGCTGAAAAGGAATATAAGCCACTAGAACATACCACGCTGCGTCTTTGTACTTGCCGATTTCTTACATTGTACTTCTTTAAACCCCCAATTTGCCGTTTCTATACTGTGCTTGAAAAAGCTGCTCATCCAGAGCCCTAACAGCTAAGTTCACACCATTCCATTGCAAAAAACTTAATTTATTCTTGATTAAACCAAAATAGTATTTATTAGATTTATATTTTTCATTAGCCCCTCTCACTATGTACTCACAAGAGCTTCCACAGTGCCAAGATCTTTGATTTTGTTGCCACTTAGATTTAGATATGTGAGATTTGGACATCTTTCTGCAAGGACCTCCAGGCCTCCTGAAATGATGTTGTCGCTCAACTCCAACTATTATACAGAAAAAAATTAAGTAATTAAATGGTTAGACTTTTACCATCGAATTCAGACCCGCGTTGTTTTTAATCGCTCTCCCTTCAACCGAACAGTTTTATCACCAAGCGGAACACTTTTGAAGAGTCCCACAAGTTAACAAGCAGTAGTCGAGTTATGGCTTTGGCTGTCAAAAACTTCCTTTGAAGTTTACTTTGAGAATTAGAAAGTACTCCTTAAAATCTCATGGGTTTGGATACTTAAATTGAAGGTTGGAAGACATAACACTGGAATTCACTGCAAGCCTTTATTCTGCCAGCGATGCGCAACTTCACCGGCTGCGCAACCCCACGGCCTCTTATCAACCGTCAGCACTCGGCGAGACGCGGCCAACCTTCACGTTTTTAACAGATGAACATTTACTGTCCTAGGAGTCGTTGACCAACCCCCATTTGGCCGTAATTAACTGGAAATACCCACAACAATTTCACATCTTAAAGAACGATGGGATGTGGCATCGTTTCGTAGGCCTGCCACCTCATAAAGCACCCTCGGCGCCACGCAAGTTCAACCGCGAGCGCCGAGAGGCACAACCGTGGGTTGTCACCCATGACTTCTACTTCTCAAAGCGCCGGCAGGCGAGACGTACGTACCTTTCGGAGCTTACTCAACGTGGGGAGTTTGGCCAGCGATGTCAGCTCTACATTGGCCATGCTAAGAAACTCGAGTTCTTTAAACGAATCATTCAGACCTTCGATTTCGCCATTGCTGGACCGGCAGTTATCGAGCACCAACTCTGTCACCTTCGAATAGGACAGCAAGTCACTTGTCAGTTCAGCGAGCATCAAAAAAACCACACGCTTCATCTAAATCACAACTTGGAGACTGTTAAATATCTGTCGGTTTGGTGTTCGTTTTAAATTTAGACTAGACTTGTGGTCCGAAATCACTGACACCCGCCTACTGAAAAAAAGTATGCAAGTTCCCCTTCCTCTGAGCACACTTCAAATTCTGTAAAAACTGCCATCTAACCGCAAACGTTATTGCGGGCCACTTTTACAGCTTCCTATCGTGCCACCGCAGCCTGGGGTATAGCTGCCCCCGTATACAAGTCAACTGCTAACTTGTTTCTCAAGTCTAGTAATTTAATGGTGCGTATTCAAACCTATGAAAGCATTCAATTCCTTTCTGAACCCTAAACCTTCTGGCTCCAGATTATTTTAGCTGTGAGTTCTGCTGGTTAATTAAACCCAATTAAATAATTTCCTCACGCCAAAGCCACTAAAACAACTAGATAATCGATACAGGTCGCGTACTTTGAGAGGCGGTAACAAGGAGCAACCAATTAATTTTAAATTATTTTATCTACGGTGGAACACACTGCTCATTAGAAAGGACATTAACAGGGCGACTCTTCCTTTCCCCCCCGCACGCTTTTAAAAAATAACATTTTAAGGCTGCTGCAGAAACCTCCGAGCCGCACACTTTCGCCAGCTCCAAGTGAAGTCTCGCTATTGTTTTATTCTTCCATCTGAAAACAGGACTCCAAACACACACAAAGTTTTAAAGCAAGCTGCCAGGGGAGAGGGGACCTTGGTGGCTTCGCCCAAGACAGACGCACGCCGAGAGCA